TTAGTGCTGTGCACAGCATTGCCTGGTTCTGTAAAGGTTCTAGATCTAAAAAGATTGTGTAGTAAGAGCTGGCAGGACTGTCTCCCATGTATCATTATGTGGGGCTGTGTGAGCTGCTAGGTGTTGAGGATCACAGTAAGGTGGGAAGAGGTGGGTGCTAGAAGACAGAGAGGGTGTCCTGAGTGTAGCAACAATCAGGATGTGTTGGACATGCAGGCAGGTGCTGCTGGGCACCTGTCTTGCCTCTTGTTTGATGGCAAGGAAAGCAGAATTGCTATAGGGGAGAAATATGGCTCCATGGAGCAGGTGCTGCTTGACCCGGGAGTTCTTGTGATCCAGATGAACTGGGTCAGGAAGCCTTGAGTGACGGGATGTGGCAGAGCAGGTGAGAGGATGGCTGAAGCCTCCACAAGACAACTTCTAGCTCTGAGGTGATTCCAGCACTGGGAATCAAAGCCATTCTCTTTCCAAGCCCCCAGCCCACTATTCCAAGAAGAGGCCCTGACTGGCTGCTGGCTGAGTGGCTTGGCTGAGGGCTTCTAGAGTGGTTCAGTGCAGGCGCTGGATGGCCTCTGTGTCACAGAGTAGCTCCGAGACCTGGAACCCCCCAAAGGCCTTCTGTGCTTCCTACATTGTAGGGATTCTGTTCCTCTTTTCCTGCCTCTTAGTTTCCCACCCTCTCCATGGGCTTTGGACCCTGTTGGACCACAGGCAGACCCACTTTTCTGGCCCCTGGCTCAAATCAGCTGCATGTAAATCTGATGCATTAGTAGCTTGTTGAGGACAGGGCCCAGCAGTTCTGCCTAGCACTGACAGACCGTTGATAACTTGGTTTCTGTCAGATCTTTACAATCCACACTATTATGTACCTAAGCTTAGTATTTCATCTGAAAACCAATAGCCTCATTGCCTTAGATTCTTTTTTGGCTTTACTTCTAACATGCTTGGTTCTGGCTGTAACTGTGCCTGTTGCTGCATACCACCCTCTTTGTTCCATCTCTGGGACTGTCCCACATCTGTTAAAGGTGACTGTCCACTCCTGTGGTCTTCCTGACATCTTTTATTCTTTACTTTTGCTTCTTAGACACAGTGTATCAGTGGAGTTTGCATTTTAAGCCAATCTACTAATCTGTCTTTATAGCTGGCATTTATCTCACATGGTAAGTACTTCTTAATTTTGTCCCCAAATCACTGTCATCATTTTAGCATTATTCTTGTTTTTCTTATTTGTGTTGATTTATCAAGTTGACTCCAGTTTTGTGAATAAGCACTTCTTCCACCTCTTCCATTCCACTCATTCTTTCTCTGTGATCAAAATCTAATTCACGTTTTGTATTATCCTTTCAAACAGTGCACCTTTAAATGATGGCCATGTCTCCATGTCTTAGTCCTCTCCCAGATGGGCCAACCTGTGGAGCGTCTCCAGGGAGCTTCTAGCCCTTCAGACTCCCCCTTTTCCTCCTCCTGAATGACACTCCAGATTTCTTTACTTCTGTGAGGCCCTACCCCATGGCCCAGCTCCTGGGCTGTGGAGCAAGCAGAACTGGTCAGTTTTAGCTATGACCAGGAACAGCAAACTGCCCAGCAGGTCAGAATCTGCCTAGACCTGTTCTTAGATGGCTTCTGAGTTAAGAATAGCTGTCTGTCTAATGAGCTGAAAGACATTTTTAAAAAGAATATTTCACGATACATGAAATCTAAGTCAAAGTCAAATTTTAGCGTTCACTAATGGAAAGTTTTATTTGAACACAACCATATTTAGGTGCAGCTCACAACTGTTTCTGGGCTGTACTGGCAAAAAAGCAATTAAGACAGAGACTGAACAAGGCATCTAGGGACTTGTAATTGCAGGAACATTGATGGCCAACAGCCCACCGCTCACTCGCCCACACTCACCTAGAGATTTGTTTATTTTTGCTTTTTTGAGACAGGTTTGCAAGGCTTAGCAAGATTTAGCCTTTCACTTTCCATCCTGTCCTCTTTGGAAGGAACTCATGTGCAATTTATACTTGAGTGGAAAATGACACTTCACTGAAACTTTGTAAATTTTCTATGTAGTCCTAGCTGGCCTGGAACTTGCTATGTAGCCCAGGCTAGCCTTGAACTCACTGAGATCCTCCTGCCTCTACCTCTGAAGTGCTACTGATTTCTATTAGCAGTGTGGACTTCTCATGTGAAAACAAGACAAAATGGGCTTCAAATGGCTCACAATGGAGGCTCAGCAAGGTATGGGACGTCATCTTATCGAGCCCCCTTGGCAAAGCCTTGTGTGTGTTATTATTTATATGTTAGCTCAACATACCTTGACATTACAATATCACAGAAAACAATTACTAGAGAAACAAGAAAATTTAAAATAGTATATTTCATCACTGTAGACACAAAATAATTAAAAATGGAAATGAAGCTGGTTCCAAAGTTTCTGGGTGGCTCATTTGTTAGTCAAGCAAGGAAAGCCATTTACCAAAGGTAAGTTAATTAAAATGTATTTGATTGCACTGGTTGAAAAAAAGAGTATTCAGAGAAAATAGGCTTATTTAAGATGACTAGAATTGGAGTAAGAGCTCAGGCTGGGCTCAGATGCCACTTACTCTCAGGAGTATCCATATGCTCAGGCATGTCTACAGGCACCTGACCTGCATAACAAGCAAGAAGAGCACAGAAGAGACCATATGCTCGCACAGTTACCATCTCCTGGGTCTCAAGCACTGCCTGGAGAACCTTGATTAACACTATTTTGGACCATGTTACTATTTCTTTCTCAGCCTCTACTGTGAGGATGATCTTGGACCACCTTCTGTATATCTAGGGCTAGAGTACACACAGGAACTCAGTAAAACTGACTATGAAAGATGATGCCTTTATAGATAGCAGAAACAGAAGGCTAAAGTGCCATGTTCAGATGGAAAATATCCACTCACACATGTCTTCTCTTTACTAGCAACTCAGGTGCCTGAGCTGACTGAGTATTCCTAAGACAGGGCCAGTGCACGAAGTTTACCTAGTATAGTAGGGCATGGGGTAAAGATCTAGCCTAGGATATCTGTTTTAACCTCTGTAAGATTACCTGACCACCCAGAAACTTCTTTGGCAGAGGTACACTTAGGAATGTTTGGAGTCAGCCAGCACAGCCAAAGATGGCTCAGGACACTTTTCTGCCTTGCAAAGACCACAAGCTCCACTCTTTTGAGCTAGAGAGTCTATCAACACTCTCCTGCTACAGACAGGAGACTCCAGTTTCTTTAGCTGTTCAATATGGACTCCCTCTCTCCAGAGACCTTTCAGGCCCTCATCCTTGACCTGGGGCTACATCATTGGTCCCCTGAGGACTTAGGCTTCCAGCAGCTCTCCAGCATGAATATGGCCACTGTTGGATTCTCCAGATTTGAATCTTGTAAGCCAATCCAATAAATTTTCTTTTAACACACATAGACACAGACAGACACACACAGACACATAGACACAGACACAGACACA